AGAGTGTGTTAAAAATGTTTTGTTTGCATTCTTCTTCTAGTCTATGCAATGATGTATACTTAAGATTCCAGTTGTGCATGCAGTTGGACGTTCACAACAGTTATTGTCAGAGGTATTTCCTACATCACTTTTTTAAAATCATGGCGATGATGACTCCACACTTCATAAATTTCTTATCACTGTTCCTGCTGTCTGATAGACCATAAGAAAAATCAAAGATTGGAATAAAGATGCCCGACTCAAAGCTTTTGAGGTTGATCTGTCATCAATTGAGTCAGTTGTAAAGTTCAAAACGTCCTTGCGACAGTGGCTCTCGGATTCTGATTTGCATTGCTCGATACAAATACTGATAAACAATGCTGGAATACTTGCAACATCACCTAGAGTTACACCTGAGGGCTACGATCAGTAAGTAATAAGAATTTTTTTTTTCTAACCTTCTTTGGTAGTATTAAAGAATTTTTGCCTTATCATTGAATAAATTTTGTGCTTGCGCATGCTGTGCAATGCATAGGCCACATGCTTGCAAATTATATTACTTCATGACTGTTAATAATCTGTTTAAGCTATGTAAATGGTTACGAGTGTTTGTCACATGTAAAAAATTTGGAGACAATGTTGACTTGCATGATCAACATAAACTTTATGGAATCTGAACCTGAGAAAGACACATGGAAGTGTTTATATGAAAAATAGATTTATTTTTCTAATTTTATACTTGTTTACTCCATGAAGGTGAGCCTTTGAGCAACAGTAGGGTTGTTGCCTTGTGACCTAAAGATTTAAGGGTCTTGGAAACAGCCTCTCTGCTTGCTTGCTTATATATACCCTTCCCGTAATATACTAGATGGTCACACTGCCCCCATTTTTTTTATACAGCTCTTTGTTTGTTTGGTATCTTAGTTTTATAATTAGCAGTAACTTTTAAAATGTACAAATGTTTACATTTTTTTTTCTCGCAGGATGATCAGTTCAAATTATATTGGCGCATTTGCTTTAACCAAGCTTCTATTACCACTTCTTGCAAGTAGCCCTGTATCTGCCAAAATTGTGAATGTAACGTCCTTTACACATCGAGCTGGTAGGGATAACCATTATAATCTTTACTTCTTGGTCTATGTTATTGTCAGATGATTCAACTATTTTAATTTTATTTTTTTTCCATAAATTGTTCGTCACATGGTCTCTACAACAACGCTTCTCCTATTGAAACTGATCAAGCTCGTTTCTTTAGTCACTGATGTGCAGGTTGATGAGGAAACTGTATCTGGGAAGAGATTTTTGAGATCAATGTGCTCATCATATCCATGTGCTCATATCTATGAGTATTCTAAATGTAAGCTGAAAAATCTGGATTATGTTATACAAATTACCTTGTGTCTTTTGTCCTAACTAGCATTTAATTTTGCTGAAGTATGCCTACTTCTCTTCTCATATGAGCTCCACAGACAACTTTGTCTAATGGGAAAATCTCATCAGATATTTGTCAGGTATGTAATTACTTAGCTGCTTACTTCTATTTCATTTTCTGTCTTGTTTAAAAGTGCTGTGTACTTTTATATGTATTGTAAAAGTTTTGGATACTTTTACTGTGAACTAATTAATGCATTACTGTCAACTATGTTGTTTGAATATGATCGTCTGCTTGCATCTATTACTTGAAGACCTTCATGAATTAATTCACAAGTTTTAGGGGGACATTTGGAAGAGCTTACTTGAGCTTATGGAAGTGGCTTATGACTTCCTATAAGCTCTTTTTAGCTTATTTCAATAAACTATTTAAGTTAGTTCTTTTTACTTATTTCAATAAGCTATACAATCAAGTTTATGAATAAGTTCTCAGTTGATAAGAACTTATTGAATAAGTGCTTATTAAACTGTTTATCCAAGTGTGCAATGGGTTTCCTATGTATTTTTCTGCCCAGCCCATGGCTTCTTTGTTTTTGGTGAAAGCATTTGGACACAGAGTGGCTTGATTGCCAATCTTGTGCCATGGGTGAAATTCATGCATGTATGTTTGACAAACCTGTAATTCTCGTGGTTTTGGACTTTCAATTAAAGGCTTAGATTTATTATCAGCCTGTGTTGTTGGGATGTAATGATGTTACTGTCAGTCTGTCACAAATCTTTGGCTCCGTACCAGGATCAGTGCCTAGTGAGGCTTCTTACCCCAGCCCCCTTCCTTGCCCCCGAAAAAAGACCACGAGTTTTAAATTGCTCTGAACCAGCTACAACCGCATAATTATCCAATGAGAGCATGTTTGGAAATATTATCTTCCCACTTTCAGCTGTTTTTTCTGGGAAAAAACTGTTCCCAAAATAAGCTGTATGTTTGTAACAACAGCTTAAATTTGTAAGCATTTTTTTTTCCTGAAAAATAAACTGTTTTTTAAGAAGTTGAAAATTTGAAGCTTATGATTATTTTTCAATATACATATACATATATATATATATATATATGTATATTTTAAGCCGATTTACTACATGAAGCTGATTTTTTGTTTTTGTTGTATTCAAATAAAATTAAATATCTTAAAATTCCTTTTCAACAAGCTTACTCGAACAAAATTTCATGATTATAAATAATCGATTATTCATATAATCGATTATTGAAATAATTTAGTTTTTACAATTTATAGAAGAAAAAAAAGTTTAAATGTAACCAGCTACACTCGTTTAATCCACCGGTGGTCAATTTTGAACTAGAGTTGTCTAAGTAGAACCCAATAATGGCTTTATTGGAGTGGGTCCAGCTTGTTTGGTTAGAGGATCCAATCTGCTGGGTGAAAGGGAATGAAAATTCTCAAAGAATAGAAGGAAAGAAAAAGAGATGCAAAATCTATTAAACTTTCTGTATAATCTTTATTCTCGTGTATCAAGGATTCTACTTCAACTTTTACATTCAGTTTCTGTATTGTTGCACATTAGTGTTGCGGATCCTGGAGTTGTGAAGACAAACCTCATGCGGGAGCTTCCAACAATAATATCTTGTTTGGCATTCTTTGTATTGAAACGTCTACGGTTGTTGCAATCCCCTGAGTGTGGGGCTAACTCTATTATTGATGCTGCCCTAGCTCCACCGGTAAGTACTTTGGTACTTAATATTGATTTACATTTTTTGCAGCATGTATTTATTCTTACCCTTCTTTGATGGTAAATTGGTAATTCATCTTGAACTCGGCCTAGGAAACAGTATATTGGTCAATTATTTCAACAAACTTTTACATACATTAGAGAATCCAGATACACTTTATAAAACACACACAAATGGATGGTTTCAGGTAATAGGTTTCTCTCAATTTTCATCCAGAGTAACTATGCGTTAATATTCATGAAATAAAATTTCTCTTAAAATAGGAAACTAATATGTATGCTCACAAAAAATATATATTTTTCCTTCTGTTATTCTTGTACTACTAAATCCTCTGAAGCATGGTCTGAACGTACAAGGTACTGGTACACATCAGTTACACTTGAGTACTCAACAATTTTTTAATTTTTTTTAATTTATACACAACCTGAGTATGACTCTAACAAACTAGGTGTGACTTGGGATATAACTAGGTATGCCGCCTCAGATATTAGCTATAGGGATTTTTCCGTCTTTCTCTCAATTTTCCTATTTTCTTTTTGCTATTTAATCAAACTCATCCATCCTTGTGAAATGAGAGTTTGTTAATTTATTTTATTGTAAATATTTTCAAAAAAATATATAAATGTTTTATACTCTTTATTTTACTATTTAAAAGCTATATTTGCATACTCATCTTTAATTTAAAATTGTTGTATTACATACCAGAACCACAACAAGAACTGGGTACCAGAACCACACACACTGGTTATTTAAAAGCTATTTTCCTATTGCATATTTTGATCTTGAAATTTCTCGTCAGCCAAATTGTCCTATGTATCAGGTTACTTTTTATTTGCTGTCTGTCTAAATCATTTCCAGTCCTGCATCACTTCAGTGGTTCCCAATTTTCCCAATTTCTCCAGCAGCCGCAAACTATTGATCTGTGAATTTATGATGTTTGTTGTATTATTGTAAATGACCAAACCATCTACATTAATTTCTCATCTTAACTAAAGTAATCGTTGCCTAATGGAAGTAAAAAAATCTGTCTTATATTGATTATTCCATTTAGGGTTTGTTTAAAAAAACTTTATCAAAAGAAACTTCTGGGAGGAAAATATAGAGAGAAAAAATGAAATATGTTTTTTCACAATCTAAAATTAATTTTTTTTTGGTATAAGTTAATTTATAGAAGCCTTCTTATATATTTTCCAAAAAATTACTAATAAGTTTATATATTAGTTAGTTTTAACTTATAAAGAAACTTATTTTTATTTTTATTTTTATCTCAAAAATATTGATAGAGAAGTTTATCCAAATAGATTTTTATTTAATTGACTTCCAATTGCTGGAAACACCCTTTAGCATCCTTTTGTTTCCTCCATTTTATGAAAATAAAATAGCAGGGCTTATGCCAATCTCCATAAACATAACTTAATTTTGAGCTCTGCGTTTATCACTTCATCCACCTGTACCTAGCAGTTCAGACTGCCCCTTGCATTTCACCATTAGTTTGAATAATTCATCTAAATAATTAGTTGTGGCATTCTTTATGCTGATGCTTACACTGATCTCTCATGCCTGCTCTAATTTTTTTTTTTTAATTTTAATTCTCCTCTTTTTGCCTTTGAGTTGATGATGTTAAATGGACTCGCATTTTTCAGGGAACATCAGGAGCATACTTTTTTGGGGGGAAGGGTAGGACTATAAACTCTTCAGCACTTTCACGTAATGCCAAATTAGCACGTGAGCTTTGGGAAAGTACAAGTAAACTGCTATCGGTGACCCCTTTTGGTGCTGAGGGAAACAGCTGGTAGCATTGGTTCGGATGTCATGTCGTATAACAAAGTGAATAGGTCGCAGTTGGCCATGTAGATTGACAGATGACAACCCATTCTTCGTATGAAGTTGAGGTTTATATTGTAAGACATGTTTGAGAAAAGTACAATACAACTATTTGTGTACGGTGTACCTTCGCTTAGTAATTGCCAGCAATCATTATATTTTTCAGCATTACCACCAGTTGTTTACATTTCATTTTCTGGTATTATAATTAACTCATGTGCCAAGTCATTGTGATAATGCAAGTGTTTAGTTTCTAATTAGTAGATTGAATTTTAATGAATCATTAAAACCGGTCTAGCAGTGGAGTTTGATAGAATAAACAAGATTTTAGGTTTTAACATTTTTTTACTAATAAAGAAAAAGAGATTGAATTTGAATTTAACCAAAAGAAATTTTAGGAAAGAAAAAGAAAAAGAAAACCTTAATGGTCTTGCACTGTAGAATTACATGTGGTGAGTTATTTACTAAGAGATCTCTATGATTAGCCCATTCAAAGGAGGACATATGACTGTACCAAAAAAAAAATTACCCTACCAAAACAAGTGGGCATATGTTACGTTGTTAGGGTTTAAAAATGTTCTGTAAATTGGAAGGCACAACTACCGCAATGTTTTGTGAGAAGAATGAAAAAATATTGGCATAATGACTTTCAATTAAAGTTTTTTTTTATATTTAATTTATATTAAAAATAGTTTAATTCATTGTATATATTATTTTGTCTTTGATTTAGTAAGTATATATTCATTGATTACATGACACTATGATTCACTCTAGAACAGGCCAATAACCCATTGAATCTAAAACTTTTCTTTGTTTAGATATAATCAATATTATAGTCTATGTAATCTATAAGTTAATTATTTATTATATTTAACTAAAATTTTAAATCATTTATGCATATAAATAAATATTATATTTAAATATGTAAATTATATTTAAAATTTAAATTAGTATATTTTTAAATATATTAAATTATATTTTATATTTATTATAAATAATGTACATATATTATAGCACAATATTATTTTATTTATTGATAATTTATTTTTAAAATATTAAAATTTAATTCATAAATAATTATGATGAATAAAAATTGAATTAAATATGAAGTTAAAAGAATCTCTAAAAGTCTTATCATAAAAAAAATTAAAAATATTTTTACACATTATAGTCATTTGTATTTTATATAGAGAGGTTGATTTAATATGAATTAGACTACATACTTCTAAAGAAAAGAATAAAATCCACTTTAACTTGTGATTGTTTTTGAATTTTAAAATAAAATTAAGTCAAGGATAAATTAAAAAAAATGATTGAATTGCAATACAATTTTTTAGTTCTTTAAATTTGTCGCAATCTAACTTGTTGCACCTTTAACACAATTGAATTATCGAAGTCTAACTAAATGGTTAAATAGAGTAACGTGAGTTGTTGTAAATTACCTTAGTAAAAAACCAAAACAATACATGAATAATGATTGTATCGTTATAGTTCCTATAGGTTCAATAATTAAAAATTCAAAGACAATACATAGTGCTATTTAAATTATTTGTTAAATATTAAAGACAAATATTTTTTAAATTGTGGATTGAGATAAAAGTGAAGGATTCAATCCAAACTGATTTACCAAAATTTTCAACAAAATCAATCAATTTGATCCATACTTCTCCAATTTAACGAGTATGGCTTCAATAGTGCTAAGTTTAAGAATACAAAAAAGTAACTTTTAAGTTATGAAACTCGAAAAAAAAATATAAAAATATAAATATAAAATATCTTTTTTAAGGAAACCTAACATGAGAGTTTTGTTGGCCTTGTAGCCTTGAATTGTGACAGAGCTGTTATGCATGCTGGTAGCTTAGCTGCTTGCGGTGATGTAGTTAGAGGTCATACAAGTGTCTTTATTTGCGGCTTTGGAGCAAAGATAGATGGTTGTTCGATTCTTGAAGCATAATTATGATGAGACATTCTTTTTTATCTTAAGGTGGCTTGGGCTGTAGAGGGTTTCAAAAGATTCATGTGGATTCGAATTCTCTAAATGCAGTGAGACTTCTAAAAGGAGGATGTGGTAACATACATCCTTGTTATAGTATTGTTACTGAGATTCATGTAGTGTACCAGGATGGAGGCAACATCACTTGGAATCATGTTCTCCAAGAGGCAAACTAGGTGGCTCATAAGTTGGTTATAGTGTGGCACTTGACTGTATTCCAAGTGCCCTTCGAGCTGCCATTGGAGCTGGTTTATCTCAAATCTCTTTTCTAAAAGGCTTTTAGTTAGTTACTTCTCGTGTAATTCAAAAAAAAAAAAAAAATGGTGGGTAGGTGAGAGTTGAGTAAATTATATATATGATGTATTAGCTTTCATTCTCATTGTCATTGTACACACAAAATAAATGTTGAAAGTTTAAATGCATGTTATGAACAATATAATTTATAACGAAATTATTATCATCAATTTGACACAAAAAGTAGAGAGAAATATGGGAAAATATAAAAGAAAATAGAATTAGACAAGAAGTGTGATCAATAATGTGACATTTTTTATTCCACATGTTATAACATACAATATATTGAATAACTGAATAACTTCAAATATAACAAATAAACTCAAAATCATACAGGTAGAAAGAATTATATTTTAATATAAACTAGACTTAACAAAAATATTAAATTATAAAGGAATTAAAATTAAACTACTTAAATTAAATAACATAAATTAAATTATAACTAGTCCTAACTAATTTTTGTGTGTAACGTATCCTATGAGAGTATAACTCGTCTATGAAGACTAAATCTTATCACCAACATCTTCAACATCATGTTGAAGATTACCTGCAACAACATATAAGAAGAGCAACATAAAACAAGGAAGTGACAAATATCTCACTCTAACTCACAACGTAAGATATAACCAGACAACCAAACACAAACAATACATATATCAATATAACACAAACATATCGATCATATAACATATTTCATCCATTCACAATATAACAACTAAATATCACATAACATTAAGGTGCATTATGCAATGGACACAGACTACATGTTATCATGCATGTAACATTAGTAAAAATATCACATATCACACTTGTGCATTGCTGCTAGCAATATACGTAGAGTAGTCTAAGAGTACATGTCAGGTCACATCTTTTACACACTCTCATCAGAAGGACATACTACAAGGATTTGGTTGGGATAACTAAGTCGTGCAAGATACATCACATGCTCACGAGGGCAAGACTAAGACTTCCAAACCAAGTTACCCCTAAGGTTAGTTCCCAAGCTTTTACACAAGGGACCTTTTTTGACGGTGTATTTCATATCATATCCTTTAAAAACATTTTATGTATATGATGCATGTCAAATAAACTCTATGCATTACATTCACACGGTCTTATACCATAACACATCTTATCATATCATATCATGACTAAGCGTCACTTAGACTTTTCATCATATGAACCTCACAGGATCCATACACATCAAATGCATCAATGTCAAGGCACATCAATCAATTCATACATAGCTCACAATATGTCATATCAATGACATACTCACACATTACAATTAATTATTAAGTAATACAATGATTACACAATATCATTGAATACACTTCAAGTAAGAAGCATTATGAGATAGTTTAATCATATGTTAGCGCCTTAACCATAGCCACTGAGATCAATGTCACTAAGAATTTCTAGCAACTTTATTACTATTAGACATGAAGTCCTTAGATATCGCTATCGTTAAACCACTTTAAGTCATTAACAATCATCTTACATCAGAACATATTAATAATTGTTTTAAACCATAATTCATCCTTGAAAAACATTGATATAAGTACCTCAAACTATTCATAAGATCAAACACTTCAAGGGTAAAACTATTCATCATCCTCATTACAAACTACATTTCCATAACTTAACATTCTAAGACATCATGTGATCTAAACGTCCTATATAGAACTATATATATATATATATATATATATATTAAGTGTAACATTATTAA